GACATTTAAACCCTTTGAAATATAAAGGCCATTCTCAGAGGGATCCCAACATTATTGACAACAGCATTACAAGCAATTTTTTGGATGCATCTCCCATTCTAAATTATACATTCATTCATCGAAAAGTGCAGGAATTATGTAGAATTTACCACTGACAAGATCTTTACACCATCTGGAAATATGGCTTGTCTCTTTGAATTCAAATCAGTTTTGTTTTAAGAAACACATCAGACTGTTGTAAACAAATGCAAGACAAACAAATCCACAAGAAAAATCAGACTGGTGAAAACTTTTAAGATTTTTTAAGATTTGAACAAATTGTACAAGTTTGGAATATGATACTCTTGCTTAATATATACTAAAACAGTGGATAGCATTGAAGATGCACTCTGATGGGCAAATTAAAAACTCAAACTCCCAAAATCCTTTGCTCTTCACCTCCAAGTAAAACATGCAGGAGTAAATTGAATAAAATCTTTTTTTATGTGTGTGCTATACAACCTCACTTTTTTAGTACAAACTAAAACAACTCTTCACTTCAGTGTTGATGACTAGCAGTAGAAATTTACCAAGCCACAATGCAGCTCAGAAAACATCCAACACTTGCCACCTTCACTTCAGTGATGGTAGTTGTTAATTATTCCAATTTTCACAATAAGGCAACAAAGAGATTAATGCAAAACTTACTTCTGTTATGGGATATTTCCCAAGTTTTGAAGTTTTTCTGACTTTACAATACCACAAGTTAGCTTTGATAAAGAAAGCACCTACCAATCCCTGGAGCATGAAAGATAAATAAATAATAAATTTCAATCAAGGTTTCTTACATAATACAAAGTATCTTGGCACATACTCCTCAGATTGATTTGCAAGTGCCTCGTTTTCAAAAGATCTCATTTAATTATTAATTCTCTCCTCTAGCTGCTACTCATTTAATTTCTTTGTAAATTAGTTCTAGGAATTTGGTGTTTGATCAAAATAAAAACTTCTACTGGATAAGTCTGAGTATTTTCAACACCTGTTTGCTGGATACTGTATGTATATTGTAGGGAGAAGTTACAAGTCGGTCACCTCTGAGAGTTAAAGGGTTAAAGTCTTGTCAATATCCTACAAGTAAACCAGCTCTCAAGGATTGAAACTAAATTATTTAGTTGCCACTTGATGCCCAAGTAAAAGGGTTTACTCTGATCTGGAATGGCCATGACCATAACAAAAAAACTGAACAAAATTTGACAGGCTAAAGGCTCACCCCAAGAGCACCCAAGAGTATGAATGGAACAAGTTCAAACAACTTCCAAGGGTTGTCATATTCCACATAGAACATAACTAAATGACCAGTTCCAAATGGATTCATGTACTTCAGTGTAAAAGCAGCAATCATGGCACAGAAGAAAGATCTCCATAATGTCTTCATTGGAAAATAATAACTGACCTACAGTAAAGCAAGAAATAAAAGTGAATTTTTGCTTGAAATTTGTTCTTTGAGTTGCAAGTTACAAAAGCTATCCTGCCTTTTAATGTCTTCAATGGAAGACAAAGTGACTCCATGTTTAACCAGCTGGACTCTGGGTTGTGAAGTCACCATTGGAACCATGACCAGGTGATTGTAGTTTGATTGAAGGCAGGGCTATTTATCTCCAGTGCCTCTCTCCACCCAGGAGTAAAAATTAGCAGTGGGAAGGTCTCAGTTAAACCTGGCAAAATACTGACCCAAGGGAGAGGGTGTGACTTACAATAGACAAGCAGCCCATCCAGGAGGAGTGGAAATACTCCAACTGCAATAAGCTCTGGCAATGTGGGACACATGCTCAAGCAAAGATTCTATTTCAATATCTAAAACCTGGTTAAGAGGATTTGTCATTTGAAAGGTCTGGTTGTAACTAAGGTGTTCTAGCTGTCTATCTTTATGTGCCCCCTAATATTAGTTATAAATTGTAGTAAAATTCAGCTCTTGAATTGTTACCTCTTCCAAACTGAACAGGACACCACCAATAGGGGCACCAAAAGCCACAGACACACCAGCTGCAGCAGCAGCTGACAGCAACTACAAAAAGGACAATGTAAAATTAATGATTTGCAAGAAAAAATTGGTTTGCTTTAGTTTCCTGAATCAGCTAAGGGATAAGACAAGGGATAAGACAAGGGGAAGTCCTTGTGACGCGAAGGAGAAGAAACAGAAAAATCTGCTAATAAAAAAAACCAAGGAGCTTATTCGAAAGTGTTGTCAATATCACTATTTACATGTAAATTATTTCCACAGATGAAAACATTTCAACATAGCTGCAAGACACTAGCCACACTTGAACCTTGAAATCAGAAATTTTGGCAAAAAAAATGCTCCGCAGCTCAGTTAAACTAAAGTATAAATGTTGACCATTTGATAATGACTGGCTGCTGATTTAATCCACAGGGGTAACTCAGAGTTTTCTTTACCTCACACTACAATGATCATACATGTAACCTCTTAATTCATTTTGCACTGGCTCAAAAACCTCAAGGTTCCACGCGGTTCCTAACCATTCCTCTAGCCTCTAGGATTCACTAATTATCAAACTGTGCTTTTCATAAGTGCATGTCGATAAAAAATAATTTTCTCAGTAATAACTCTTTTTGTAAGCAACAAGAGATCTTTTGTTGCTGTTAGTGCTGTTGTTGTTGTTGTTTGTTTTTTTTTTTTAGTTACTTGTGACCTCCAAAAGAAAAATAACAACAACAAAAACAAAAAAGCAGGAGAAGCAGACAAACCTCTCTTTTCTTGGCTTCATTCTTGTGATATTTGGTAAACACATAAGAGAAAAAGTTCCCACAACAACTTGCCACATGGACAAGTGGACCTTCTTTTCCTAAACTTAATCCTGCTGCCACGGCAAGCATCATTGACAGTGACTTGATGATTAGTGTCCAGCGACCAAGGTAACCACGAATAATAAAACCACTTAAAATGGTCTTGATCTACAACCAAAAATAGAAATAATATTGAAAAGGTAACTATTAAGTGATTCACAGGAAATTCATGGCCAAATTGTTATCAAATGCAACAATTCTTGCAAAGTCACCCAGAAAAGTATATTTTCTTTGCATAAAACATAATTTGAAACAAGAAGTCAAAAATGTTTGGTTTTCACATTTCTTGCTGAAGCCATGTCCATACTAGCTCCAGTACAAACTGTGAACCCAAAATATTTTGGACTTTTTGTTTCAAAATGCACTTCATAAGTTAATAACATACTTGGAAACTTGTAAACTATTCAAAGACTACAAATTACACTCCCTCTATAGGCTTGTGCTATTTTGCTGTCTCTGAGAAATTAACTTGTACTTATTTATGCCAAATTACACTCAAAACCATGTTATTACCAATACAAAATCTAAAATTTAAAAAGTAAAATGGTGGCAAAATATTTAAGATACTGACATATGGAAAATCAGTTTCAACATGCAAGTTCCAGTATAAAAATTGATTATTACTTAAAGTTGATAGTACAAGTATATTACAGAAAAATCTATTTTGGGATAATTTTCAAGATCATCTGAACTGAAAGCAATCACATCAGAAATTATGAATCATTTGAAAAGAGAGAGATACACCAACCCTTTTTTATTTTATGTCTCTTACATTTGTTCTGTAGAAGGTGCATAGTAAACTCAAATCTGCTTTCTGTTTAAATGAATTTTTTACATTGTAATCTACTGAAAACAAAGTTAATTTGTTCCCAAAAATTTTGTCCCAACTGAAAAAAGGGGGTATAAGCCATTCCCTAGTTTTTACTTGATATGTTTTTTATTTGTTCTGTACATGATGCAAGGCAAACTCAAAAATGATTTCTGATTGATTTAATTGGTACAACATGATCATCTACCCCCTCAAAAAAGTTAATTTTGTTCCCACCACCCTTGATGCATTGTGTTCATAGGTATTTATGTACCCCCCAAGTACACTTGTGTTCCTGGGGTAACACACAGCATAAACCTTCCAATTTGGTTATGGGGTCGTCATGCTAGGTATTGGAAGTCAATTTCATTTCAGAGGAGAGGAAAACAAAATCTTCCAAATGTTACGTGTCTCGAGCCAAATAGAGATTTCCGCGTGATGGTCAAGTAACGTTACTTTTCTTGGTTGGTGACGTAATATTTTTAGTAACAATCACTATCATTTTTATTATTTTGTGAAAAAAAATTCTTAAAATCTAACCTCGGGGATTCCACTTCCACAAGCATACGGCGCAAACCAACGAACTAGAGTAACAGCGAGAAGACCAAATAATAGAGACATAACGATATAGAAAATATAGTTCACAATATAAGCTAAGGGCCCCCTCTCAGAGTCGGTTAGCAAGTTCGACCACGACTTCCATTGACTACATCCCGTTCCTTCAAAACTAGTGCTGTCTGACCAACAACAAGACTCTTGATTGAACCAGAGATTATCGGGGCAAAACCCAAGCTTTAAATCTGTCATCCAGGTAGCCCCAATGTCTATGATTCCTGCACACATACCAGCCGATAAACCGACAAGAAGAACTACGAGCCAGCCAGCCCATGCGTCATTCGCTTGTACGATTCGCTCCCACAAACTTCCTCTTTTCATCCTTCGCATTTCGCGAAATCGTTTGCGTTCCCTCTGTCGATCACGCACCCAATCAATGGTATTAAAATCGTCGTATTGCGCCAGAGCAGCCGCCTCGGGTTCTTCGAGGAAACAATCGTTCTGAGCATTTCGAGAAAAGCGCAAGTTGCTACCTTCGACGATGGGAGACTCTTCATCGTCGAAACTTCCCAAAACGTTTTCAAGTCTGTCGGTGCTCAACGAACTCGCAGATAAATCAGAAGATTGATGATTTCGATCCATGCTCTGTCTGTTAACTACTCATCTCAGACGTGAAAACCGGCAAGAGGGATAAAATCAACTACAAGGTGGCACGAAACGAACTTGTACTTGTTTTCTCCAGGCATGTAACCAGGCCTTTCTCCGACGAAAGCGAAACGTGGTTCCTCAGCTCCAGACAACAACAACGTCCTATCGCGTAAAAATGTCGAATTTCAACACGGATAGTAGCGTTGCTATTGATCAGGATTTTTACGAGAGTAGCTACAGCTATGTTGACCAGAAAGAGCAGCCCTATGGCGGATACAGCTACGGTCAACAGTATCCAGATTATGGACAAACAGCCCAACAGGTACCGACCTTCAATTCCTATCCTTCTGCATCGCATACCCAAGGGTTTTACGACTCGTCGTCGTATGGCTATGGAGGGAACTATTCTTACGATTACGGAGCTTCGGGACCCACGACTATGAGTTCAAGTGGAAGGGGAGGCTACGGAATGGAAGGATCGATGAAACCGCGACAGACAAGCGAAGACTACACGAGTTTTGAAGACGAACCTCCACTTCTGGAAGGTACAAATACGTGGCACATGTGACGATGTAATCCAGCATCTTTAAAATTAATTTCGTTACTAGGGAAAAAAGTTGAAATAAGAGTACTGCTCTCGGTATTTTTGCTGAATTTTGGACGATACGTTCTGTTTTAAACGGCATTCAGGGAATTTATTTTTGATTTCTGGCCAAGGCTTTTAGTTTGGTTGCAGAACGTGACAGATTGTCTTTTGAATTACAAGTAATTTTAATGAGCTCTCGTGTTGGCTGAATCAGTAACGCAAGCCACATCTTTTAAGAAAACGAAATCAAAGAAATAATTATTTAAAACAGGAACACGCAAACATCCGACATATAAATCTGACTGGAAGCACTTTACATGTTTTGAATCTTAATAAAAGCCCCTTTCATTCAACAGAACTCGGAATCAATTTTGAACATATCTGGCTAAAGGTTAGTTGTTTGCTTATTGTCAGTGAAGATAAACTGCTGTGTTTGATTTTTATAAAACAACAATGACTTAAGGCTGGTATCTTACAATAATGCAGATTGCATGTTGTCAAGGTATTGCTTTGTCATGTGTGTACATGTACCTGCCCTGTTCTTGTACATAATGCATGGGTCTAACAAATTTGGGTCTAAATTTAATTCCTTTCGGAGCAGGTGCAAAAATGAGGATATCGCCATAATAATGCTTTCAATAAATCAAATGGCAGTTATTTTTTGTGAGATCCATAATGTACAGTATGCTGCTGAGGTGTCAGATGATGTTCTTTTACTTGCAAATTAAAGTTCTTGTTTATAAGGTAACTGAACATCTCAGTTTCAAGTTTACCACAAAAGTTTTGTTATGGCATAATTCACCCCACAGTCTCTTTGACTCATTGATAGAACATTGGAGCACAGAATCTGGAGGCCTGGGAATCAAAACTCTATCCTTTGTCCCACTCCTGATGAGACCAAAGATGGCCATCTTTCTCAGTGTTATATTTATTTGACTTTTATTTTCTCCTATTAAGGCATTGAATACAGGACAAAGCAGAATAAAAATCAAACTTTCTAAAAAAAAAATTGCATGTAAATTTAGAAAAAAAATATGTAATTATTCTTTTACTAGTCATGTGAGATTATGAAAATTTGTGCCAAGGTTATTAATAGTTCTTTTTGAGTAGTTGAATTTTTAATAGCCATTAAATCTCACTTTGCCCTCATTTTCAATTTTACAGACCCTATCTGTTTTAAACCCATTGCAACACACAGAAGCCAACATCATGGATGATACAGATCTTGCAGGTCCACTGGTGTTTTGCTTGGCATTTGGTGGATGTCTTCTATTGGTGAGGAAAATAGTTGCTTATGATCTAATGCATAACAGAGCAGAACAAGATGAAATTAAGAGATCCTCGCAGCTAAGAACACTACTGAAACAAGTAGTTGTAAATAGGACCTGAAAAAAATTCAGGCCCGTACAGGATTTGAACCCATGACCTCTGCGATACCGGTGCAGTGCTCTACCAATTGAGCTAACAAGCCAACTGGGAGCTGGTCAATGAATTGGGTCCAAATAAACATCCAAGTGAATGAAGATTTTAGATATATGAAAATTCATATATTTGCACTGCGGTGGAGAGATGAAATTAAGAGATCCTCAGAGAACAATTTTCTGTTAACCCTAAGAATGACTAGTTTCTATTTTCTCCCAACAACAATACCCCTGAGTCACACATTAAGGTCATGAGAATAAAGGAAATGATCACCAACTAAAGAAGCTTTTGATCAGTAAACAAATTCTCCTTGTCAGCACCTCAGGAAGTGTATAAAGAACAGTAAGGAGAATATGGATACTGATGTTAGGGTGTAAAGGGTTAAGTGTAGAAGGTAATCCAGGACTGCACTGATTTTGATTTGCTACCTCTCAAACTCGTTTCATGCATGCATCAGATTGGTTGAGAGAATGAAGCAAATTTTTGCACTGATCAAGGAAGGTAAGGAAGTAAAACCAGTGCAGTTCTGAATTACTTTTGACTCTCATTTGAAAATGAATGTCTGAGAAAAAACTCAGACTATCAGAGATTTTACTGTTCCCTGACCATCCCAGATTTTGCTGATATATATAGAGATCACCAGATATTTGTTTTGATGGATTACAGACACCATTTAATTTGTGACTGGGGATACTGGAACCAGTAAGACGATTGATAGGGAGCCTAAACTATTTTTGATGTCCCCAATAGTAAAAATACAAGTTTTCAATTATCTTCAATAGCTGCCAATCATCACAGAAATCTGGGATGAGTGGGGGAATTAGAATGGCTTCTAATTTTCTTGATTTGTAGCTGACCATCCTGGACAATTGGACTGATGTCTACAATGTCAGGTTTTCCTTAGTGTGAAAACTCTGAGCTGTCAGGAAACAGTGAGAGCCTTGATCATCTTGGATTTTCTTGACACATGGACACCAGTGACACATAATTGAAAATTATTCTAGATTGAATATTACGTTTCCAAACGTATATTAAGAGGATCTTTCATGTCAAAGTTAATCTCTTGCATCTCTTTCAGTCTGGCAAAGTACATGGGTTTGGCTACATATATGGAGTTGGTCTGCTTGGCTGCCTTGCTATGTACGCCATTCTGAATCTGATGAGCATGACTGGAGTTGATTTTGGCTGTGTTATTAGTGTTCTTGGATATTGTCTTCTACCTATGGTCATTTTGTCCTGTATCTCAATTCTTCTCTCATTACAGTAAGTGTTTCTTGAATGTTATACTTTTCTTTAAGATACAGTATG